TGTTCTATATTTAGAAATGTTTTTCTACCTGATGGATTAATCAGTATACATGGCCTAGCTCCTACATCAAATCCTTGGTCATGTTGACATTTCTATTATTGATTTTTGTTTTAGTGTGAAGTATTGTTGTGTGAACAAGTTAAGTGCAGTTCATTTTCTATTGTTATTTCCTTCCCCATAAATAAAACAGAGAAAGAAAATAAGTAAAAACAGCAACAACCTGAATTTATAATATCAAAGCAGCTCATAGTAAGTGAATTGCTGTCTTTGGTTTCATTTTGATATCTTACCATGTGTAAAACTGCCCTCTGATTTTATTACATTGGAGAGTGTCAGAATTATCTATCAGCCTGTCATCTGAAGTTAGAAATTGCCAGAAGATATGTCATGACACAGGCCTATTGTTGGACCAGCAAGTCCCTAAGTATAATCAAGTGTGCTGAGGATCCTTTTCTGAGCTTAATTGTATGATGAGTACTTTATATACCCTATTTTCTTTGGGGAAAGCCAACATTTTTCTCATGAATGAAACTTGAATCTTAATTCTTGTAAAACTTCCACAGTTTTGGGGCCCTTAGGGGTCACAAGTGCCACAGGAAGTGTCATCAGTAAGGAAAAAGCAGAGAGGTAAAGAGACTTGCAGGGGCAAACACCTCACACGTGGCCATGGTGGTCGGGCACCTCGTAAGACTGAACCCGAGGCAAGCATGGGCTGACCAGGATGCCGCTGCATTGCTTTTGCTGCTCTGTGGTTTAGGCAGCAGACTCAGCAGGTAGACAGACCAGGAGCAGCCTCTGACTGTCCCATCTCATACCTGTCATGTTCTTGCAGGCCAACCTGCCCCTGCTACAGCGTGAACTCCTCCACTGCGCGAGGCTAGCCAAACAGAACCCTGCCCAGTACCTCGCGCAGCATGAGCAGCTGCTTCTGGATGCCAGCACCACCTCCCCTGTCGATTCCTCAGAGCTCCTTCTGGATGTGAACGAAAACGGGAAGAGGCGAACTCCAGACAGGTGAGAGGGAGGGGCCCCTGGACTAGCTGTGGCCTTTCCTCCCGGCTCAAGTATGAAGCCATGCTTTAGATCACTTGGAAACTGCACCCTCTATCTCTCACAGGACCAGTCTGGGCAGCTTTTGTGCAGATTGACCAGTAGGTTTCATTTATAAAGACTAAAATGTAAAGATAAGTGATTGCCGAAAGTAGCAAGTTCTACCAAGGGTTCCCAGACACACCTCAGCCTCGAAATTCTCACTTATTGCATAGCTTAACCCAAGCATAGATTTTTCCCTCCATTGTTTATGAAAGTTGATTTTCTGTTTCCAGAATTTGAAAGCTGGCCTATATGTGTCAGTCAGTGAACAGGGAACAGGAGCTATTTGATCTAAGAATTGCTGCATGAACTGAGAAAACTTATGGGAAGCAAGATGAACCGAGTCAAAATAATAGCTATATGCTAGAGCTAACAGAACACTTCTGCTGAAAAGAAATTGCTTACCGGCCAATATTTATCCCATCAGGCACTCTGTTCTAAAGCCTGAGAGTTCTAAGAAAAAGAAAGGAGATCACTCTCACCATTAAACCCACAGGTGAATTGCTGAGTATGGCACACACACACAAAACTTCCACATGTTCTATTAAACCATTTTCATGAATACTTCAGTTATAGGTCTTCATAACGTGAATATGAATTCTTAGCAGTATTTTTCCACAATATGTGAGAACTATCAAGGTGCTTAACATGAACCTGTATTCAAGAACCTCTTATACTTCCTTCGTTCTCTGCCATGATCTGTTGTCTTTCTCTGCATTTCAAACAGCTTGGAGCGGTTAGCCCTCTGGTACAATTGTATTCTACATTCACAGGAATGTAGGAACCTTGAAATTACTGTGGGACCTCTATCTCTGGCCAGAGCTGCCCTGGAGCACGTTACTGGCTTTGCACATCTGCATTATTACAGGCAATCCACATTGCCTGCAGTGATCACCTACCCCGTCAAGCAGTTGCAATGCTACAATCCATGCTCTTGAAATAAAGCTTCTCCCTCTTCTCCCTCTTTCCCCATCCTTCCCTCCCTCCCTCATCCCTATCTTCCCTCTCTTCTTTTTGCTGTAGGGTCTCAATGTGTAATCCAGGCTAGCCTTGAATTTATAGCAGTCTTCTTCCCTAATTCTTAGTTTATTGGCATGAGCTACCAAGCCTGCCTCAACATAGGACTTAAAATGTATATATTTTATGTATGTGTATTATATATTCTTATATTTTATATGACTTCCTTCATATTCCCCAAAAACTATTCTCTTCCTCTTCCTCTTCCCATCAAACCATTTCTTCCCTCTGCTCACTTTTAGCTATTTTCTTTTATTTTTGTGACCAACTGAATGTGGCAATAGTCACTTGCATTTATGAGTAGGGACTATTTATTTGAAGAGGAAAACTCACCAGTGACTATGCCCCTTCTAGCAGCCATTACCTGCCTGGAGCTTCTTAGTGAGGAGTAGGGGCTTTTGCGTCCTTTCTGTATCTATCATATAATATCGATGAGCCTAGTCTTCTGTAGGTAGCCACTGCTGCCGTGAGTTCATGGCTGCAGCAACCTTTCTGTGTCTGGAAGACAGCATTCCATAGCACCACTTTCCCCATCTTCCTGCCTTTACATTCTTTCTTGCCCTTCTTTCGTGAGCCTCTCTGAGCCTTTGAAAGGGTGAGATAAGGTGTCCCATTTAGGGCTGAGTAATTGTTTAAGCCTTCAGCATTTTAGGTTTTAAAAGGAGCTATGTAGTCTGAGTATGGGAGTGTCTTAACCATTGACTTGACTTATGGCAGATAGTTTGCATGTGCTTTTCTAGGTATTGACATAGTCCACATTTCTAGGAAGACAAGTACTAATTTGTGAGAAAGAATTTATTTCTAGGAGGGTATAACAAGGGAAGGTTTACATAGATATCTGTGGTAAGTGTAAAGATAACATTCTGTTAACATGGTTCCCGTGTGCATGTGTGTGCATTCAGTCAGGCAGACTACTCTATAGGAGTCTATCTTATTCTGTCTTGATCATGTAGGAACAATAGCTGCTGTCAGATTTCCTATGAAGATTCTTTGAGTGGAACATTTCTTCCTCAAGCTGATGTGTCTTTTATAATGGAGAGATGGCAAATAGGCGGAAGGATAATGAGAATATGTTGTGTAAATACATTTGTATCTTGTGGGAATTTTATCAGAGCCAAGAAAATATGGGTCTCTACAGTGTGATTTTGCATATATCCAGCATCTTGTTTGCATATGCATTTCTTCTCTGGTTATTTACTTGTATATCCTGCTCTGCTATATGAAATTTTATAGAGTACATAGCTGTCTGACAGCAGAGTTTTGTTGTTTCAGTGAATGTTTGGTTGGTGCATATGGTCTGACATGGATGAGCAGCCACGGTGAGATTTCGGAGTCTATTAAAGTGGCTCATTAAAAAGATCAATCTGTTTCTGTAATAACACTGGGAGCCATCAGTCACTGGAAGAGGGAAAAACTGACACCTGAGGAGAAAACACATTTTGATAATTTGTTCATGACATGTCATGAACAAAAGAGCGTTCTATATTTTGTTTACAACTTTGGGGGGTTTAAATTCTGTGATGATTGCCAAGCTAATGTGTTTAAGGGATAGACTTGGGCGAGCTGAGCTTTATTCTCATCCCTAAATTTACTTTCACTGGCTATGTTTTTTAAACTATCTTTGTTATCTTTTGTTACTTGATACAGTCTCATATAACAGGCCAGCCTCAAACTCTCTATTTAGCCAAGGAAGATGTGGAACTCCTGGTCCTCCTGCTTCTGCCTTGCAGGTGTTAGTATTAGAGACACCACTGAGTGTGGCCACTGTGATTGTCACTTACAGAGAAGTTCGTTCTCTCGGGAAGTTTGAAACCATTCTTTTGCATGTTCCTATATAGAACAGTAGAATGTCTTACAGTTTCTGATAAGATTATCCAGGGGAGAGTCCCTGAACTGAATTTGTAGGTCTGTGGAAGAATACTGTAGGGTGTAAAACAAACAAATAAACAAAAACCCAATGACTAATTTTCATTTTAAAATCATGCTTTTTCTCAAAATATTGGGGAAGGAGAATTTTGATTTGCAGGGGATGTTTATTCTCAATTCTTTCTTTTTTCTGAGATCTTCCTCTTTTGTCATTTTGTAATAGGTCATGCAGAAAGCGATGAGGCACTTTTTTTTATGAACCAGTTACATATAATGAACAAATAGAGGGAAGTTAGTCCCCTATAAGACAGCTCTGATGGCTCATCAGGTCTGAATGCCAGCATAGGGAGAGAGAAGGGGAAGAACAGGGAGGGCTTCATTTCCTGGGCATTGCACAGTGAATTAAGATTAAGGTTTTGGAAAGATGCTGGTGTCATGCTGACAATCATTGTGTCTCCTCCCAGAGCTTTGGTATAGCAGGTGCCTGCTCTGCCTTGAATATTGCATCACCACCTGTTACTCTGCTCTTCCTCAATGAACTGTTCTCACTTACAAAAGCCAATTGAATGATCTTTGCTCTTGGATAGGGACCACTGCTTGTTTGCTGTTAATCCACTCAAAAGGTTGCTCCTGGGTACCAATTCTCTTAGCCTTTATCATCGTCTTGAGATGACTGCATTCCTCAGTTTAGCACTCTGAGACTTTTACTTCTGAAGCTGTAGAGGCAGATTAATATGTACCCCCTAAACATTTCAAAAAGCAACTTGTGTGAATCATAAACTTACATAATTTGCCACCTGGCAGGGGATATTATGGATGGACCAAGTCAACTGCTTCTCTTCATACTTGAGGAAATTAAGGCTTACAAAATTTGCCCAAAGTCACAAAACTTCCTAATGGAGAAGTAATTGTATTTATGTGCTGAAATCTTGCAGTTGTATAAAATATGCTGGAAAGTGCAGAATTCAAATATGGAAAATTTTTCCTCATTCTCTAATTCATTTATTTTCTGTAATTGCAGAAGAATGTAAATGTCATAAGATAATGTTCTAAGGGTTTAAAGTCTATTTTAATGATAGAAAAATCCATAATGATCCAGGTTTCCTGACTTAATGAGTAGTTAGTAAATGCTGAAGGTTAGAGATCAGGAGGCTGTCATTTTGAAACTGTGTTGGTTGATTATGTAAGGTTTGGTTTGGCACCTTACTTGCAAACTGAAGTGGGTATGTTCATTTCTCCTTAATAAAATGAATGAGGGTTCAATTTTTTTTTGATTTTCTAAACAGAAAATGTAGGTTTACAATAGGGAAAACTGCACGGCATTTAGGATCCCATGAAAAAGCAGGATTTTTAACATGTGTCATATTATTTTCACGTTTTATTTATGAATTCCCCAGTTTCAGTAAGTATGTAGTAATCTCTGTTATAATTATTGTCTAAGTCATATCAGTTGTGAAGCCTTGTGAAATAGCATTGGCTGAGAAAGAAGATGTAGTTGCAGGGACAGTTCCATCACCTTGAATTCCAGCTTCAACTTAAGTAGCCTTACTTCTTGCCACTTCTGTAGGGTCCAGCTGTTCCAAATCCTCCTGATGCCTAGCTTTATATTCCCGTTGATAGTGCCTGCCCTCGTTCCTGAATCTTACACATCACGACTCAGTATCTGTTATGTGAATGAAGGGTTACTAATTACATTTCTGTAGTAATGGCTACTATTTACTGAGGTCTTGAGGTGTCAGGCCCCATACTAAATAATCCAACCACTGATCTACAGTGTTATGCATGGGTTCGGGAAGTTTGGATACAATGTTTGAGGTCACATGGCTTACAACTTCTCCATCTTCAACACCTATGTTCTTAAAGCTGTGATTTGCTAGTCCTGGCCTCTAATCCCATAACTAGAGAATGAAGTACTTTGATGAACTTGTTGGATGCCATATATATGTCTATTCATTTTTTCTTCTAGTCCTCTCATCAGGCTAAGATAAAACAATCTTTGTTTTGCAAATGGGAATGTTGAATTTCTTAGAAGGTTAAGC